ATTCATTTCTTAATATCTAAATCTCCAGCACAAGCGTCCAAAACAAGAGTTATGACTGCTTGCAGCACGGCTGCTGTAGATCTTGCCGGATACAGCAAACTGCAATAGAAATCAGAGTCAGGAGAGTTCCTCAACTATTTTTAATGTAAGGATGTGTCAGTCCCAAATATAATGAATCACAGAGGTTTGCTGAAGTTACAGCGGGTACCAGCAACCGAAACGTGCGTGTGGCTGCATTTGAAGGATGTCAGTCGGAATGATTACCGCTGAGGAGCGGATTCACTCCAAAGAAGTTGAGGTTGATGAGTTCTTCTGACGGACCGGGAGATTCTGGAAAGGGTTACAGTGTGTTTTTCAGTTAAATACTTTGTTCACAGTGCAGCCAAAAGCCAACGCTATGCAGCTCAGGACTGGGGGGCTGCTGTCTCATTGCAGAACTGCAGTCTTTGCTTAAATTCAGTTCCCGACATTGAACTGCAATCGTAAGAGAAACTAATTTTCACACACAAACACACCTACTACACCTCAGCAAGTTATTTGGGGATGTAATCTGTTAATTTATGCATTTCAAGCCACAACAACTCCTCCAGGCTACAACACAGCTGAACGCTTGCCGGGGTTGTAAGGAGCAGGTGGCTGATTTCCTTCCTTAAAGAAAACCACAGAGCTCACACCTCACACTTGAAAACTAACGACTGTGTATGCCTGCATACTCAAAAACAGCAGTGTAAGAAACCCACCCCTCTGTTATGTCTTTGCTGGGAGGGATTTAAGGAAAAGGAGAGGTAGAATTGAAAGCAGAAGCCAAAAAAAAAAAAAGGCATGAAGGTAACAGCATCTCGGGGCAAACGATGCAATTACAAAGCCCTGGCTCCTCGAGTGAAACTTCAGCTTTGTCTCAAACGGTTTGGTTTTTTGTTGTTGACTTTGTGTTTTTTCAAAATGCCAGAATTATTTTGCTTATTATTTAGTTACTACTATTATTGACTGTGCCCCCTGATGGAGGATGTACCTGAAACGGTACAGATTTGCCATCTTCCTTCCCATGCACAACGCCTGCGGGTTGGACGGGTGCACAAAGAGCTGTTCAACACGAGGGCAGCACGGCCCCCCTCAGTTCTTCATGACACAATCCCATTAATTACAAACAGAACTCCTACTGGCTGAAGCTGCAGGTATGACACTCCAACTGCTAATTTAAAACAAGTTTGTTTGCACACAAGGCCGCTGATCGACAACAGAAAATAAGGGGGAATGTTGGTTAGCTGATTGATAGCGCAGGGTCCGGTCCCAAACCATGACAGACGCTCATCTGTGCTTTTCTCAGCCACTCCCAAACTTCAAGGGCTGCACTGAGAGCTCCGTTGGAAAGAGGCCCCACCATCAGACGTCCCAATGGATAAACACACAGCGTTTGCTTATAAAAAGTGACAAGAATTTCTGAAAAGCTGATGAACTCCAAATATTTCCCAAAGATTCTCCAAATACGTTCTGGTCACCACCCCAAACAATGCAATGTCTTTTAAGACTTCTTTTTTGTTGGTTTTTTTTTCTCCTTGAACCTGGCTTACTTTTACATATTTTCCAACACAAAGGGCTGTTGAGTTGCCTTCAGGGCCGAATGTGGAACCAGAGAAATATTTTTCCAGGCGTAAGTTCAGTGTGTGAGATCAGGCTCACGGCAGGCAGAATAATGTACCTGTGACTTGAAAAATAAACCTTATGCCATATGTCTTTCACGATACTGTACCCCTCAATATCTGCTTTGTTTCAAACTGTGGCAACCTGAAAAAATTCCACCTGCAAATGAAACACCTTCAGACTTCCCGGAAGGAACCGTCAAGCTCTCACCTCTGGTTCCAGATATTCACTACCCCAAAGGTTTACAATGCTGATCTACTTTATCAATGAATCATAAAAAGAAAGAAAAAACAGCCAGAAATTAAACTCAGAGAGCAGCCTAACGAATGATGTCTTTTCAGCCAGAGGGTGGTGAGGCACTGGCACAGGTTGCCCAAGGAGGCTGTGGATGCCCCATTCCTGCAGGCATTAAAGGCCAGGCTGGATGTGGCTCTGGGCAGCCTGGGCTGCTGGTTGGCGACCTGCACACAGCAGGGGGTTGGAACTGGATGAGCGTTGTGGTCCTTTTCAACCCAGGCCATTCTGTGATTCTATGTGGAAAAGAGGTTAACTACATTCCCCAGAGCCTCAGCAGCCACTATATAATGATAAGAACTGAAGAATTACAATTCTTTTTGAAAGCCTGGATTAGTATTGTTGGATACTTCATTAAAATCAATAACAATCCTTATGATAAAGAGGCAACAAAAATGAAAAAGCCATTCGACTCCTGATAACATGAAATTAGGTTGGCTCAGGGAGTTGTAATTCATAGAAACACATACAAAAAACTCCAGGTATTTGGTTTTTACACCAATACCTTCATTAATCTGAGTGGTCACGAACATATTAATGATCTACACCTACAAAAATACAGAAATTCTTACACTCTATCTGGTACACAACTGCATCAAGCCTTCTCTTTTGCACAGAAAAATCTTTCTATACCTCAAGACCAAAAAAAAGACAAGAACAGTGTCCTTGTACCAGCTGACCAAACCACCAGAAGGGAATGGCAGCCAGGACAGCCACAGGCAGCTTGAGTTGGTCAACATCCATCCCCTGAGCAGGTCTTGCTCAAGGACACCATGCCAGGCCCTTACCCCAACACTGACTGCACAGAACTCTGCAGTTGCATTGAACTCTCCCATTAAAGGCAGAAATACATGAAATTCATCTCCACCTTTGGTGATCAGTACATCCCCAACTCTATTTTAACTTCACCGTGACAAAGGTTCAAAGGAAAGATCCGAAGAGAAGAGAAACCCTACTTATAAATGAATTCCCATATTTCATCAGAAATGTTTTTACAACTATGAAGAAAATACCAATTTTAAATGCAAATCCTGTCCAAAATCAATACATTTCAAAAACCATTATCCTCGATTTAACAGCAATAAAAAAATTACATCCTTGAGAACACAGCAGAATTGCACAACGTAACATTGGCAGAAAGCATCCAGAAAAACAAATGAGGGAGAGAGTTCTGTGAAACCAAAACAAATTCCTGTCTTATCTAAAGCAATCAACCTGAACCATTTATACTTGGGCTTACTCACTCAGAGGAATGATTAATGGAAAGATGCTAACCAAAATAACGCCGTTTCTGGACTGAAACCTTTCAAGATGAAAGATTTCCTTTAAAACACGGGTAGAAGATTTCAGCTGTGCTGTCACACCATACGTTCATCAACTTATAAATCTCAGGGCTGGGCACACGCTGCGTTTCAGACTTATCATGTGGGGCTGCCACTCTGACGGCCGTCAGGCACCGCACCAGCTCTGCTAGCCAAGAAGCTTTCAGCAGCTACCGGGATTTTCGAACAGCGTGGTACCTCATAAAGAAAAGTAATTAGGTATTTCTAATGGCCACATTGGCAGGAAACGCTGCAGACAGAGGAGGAGACGTAATCACTTCGTGGAGGGGAAAGCAGGACGGTGCTAATGCTGCACAGAGCTGGACACGGCTCCCAGCACCAGGACGATGCCACGACCAGCTCACGGCGTTACGCTGCTGCTGCTCTTGGCTCTTCTTCTCAAAGCCCAACACGGCTCTGCGTGATCCAGCACTCCTTGTCCTCCATAGCCTTATTTCCAAACACATATGAAGAACCTGTGCTTATATTTAGTCAGCTCTACCAGCAGCTGGTTGCCAAGCCATGGGCAACTACGCTTTTGTCAGAGTGGTCACCCTGGCAGGAAACATTCATTTCTTATGGTGACAAGCTTATATTCCCCCCCCGTCTCATAAAGGCATGAACTGCAGGATATCATAATAAACCATGATTCTGAGCTTGATAGTTTAGGTTAAGGAATGTATTTCAATTATTAAAATATCAATAATAAAAGTTAGTAAAATACAGCAGTGAGCAAGTAGTGGCATAATAGAAAAAGGCTAATGTTGGTGCTTTGTGTTTGTCTGCTTATCTCAGATGGATGCCCCTCACAACAAAAAGAAAGGAATTAATGTGTTCTGTGCAGCTCTAAAGCAGTGCACTCAGAACACTGCGCTGAGCATAACTTAAAGTGGTTTTCAAGTATGAAGTTCAGAATGGGTGATGAAAAAGATCAGAAAGTGGAAAATCTGACTGACAAAAGACAATTTACATTTGTGTACTTTGACTACAGTGGCATTATGAGAACGTTGTTGATGGATGTTACACAGTTACAATAGAAAATAAACAGTAATTACTCAGAGAAGTATCAAGTTTTTCCTAGGAATAAAATTATCAGTGATGGAAAAGTTGTTACACAAAAAGTCTCTTGATCATCATATTTCTCTGGCTGGAAAAATATCCATGGTTACATGATAGGCACATCAATGTTTAAGATATTTGGAACCACATTAGGCAACTCATAAAGGTGCTCCAGGTCAAACCTGCCCCTTCATCAAGGTGGATTTGATTATTCAACAGATTCTCCATCTCAGATTTCTAACTCCAAAACAAATACAGACACTGTTCTACTGAGTGTCTTCAGAAAACAAGCACATGAAACAAACCCCACTGTATTTCTGGCAGATGAAAATGTGAAGTAATCAGAACGATGAACTCATTAACTCAAAGCAACCAGATAAATAAATAAAAGCAAATCTTCAAAACCATCTAAAACAGCCGATGTGACTTTTGGATGGATGAATCTGTCTTGTTCAAGCCAAACTGAAACGTGGAAACTGTTGCAAACTGTCCGTGATGGGATTAGTCTCACTCTAACTAGAGGTAACATCACGACATCGGTACAAAAGTTGCCTTTGAGAAATTCATTTCACACTCACAAGCAGCACGCTGAGATCCTGACAGTCGTATGGAAAACCATCGAGCTGGATGCCAGAGAAATGGATCTATGTTATTTTTACAACATTATTTCTATTATTTTCTTACCATCGTACTTTATTGCAGGTCTGTGTAGCGCCAAGAGGAGAACCTGCCACCATGGGGACCTGGATGGGGCTGTGCTGTTTGTTCATGACAAGATCCAACTTCTCTTCCAGTGATTTACAGGTAGCCTCTAGAGCCAGCAACTTTGCCTCAATGCTATCCAGTCGCAGGCATATTGTCTGATTAATGGAACACAGGAATGACTAGAAAGGGGAGAAAGCAAGAGAAACTGCTTTTAAAAACTTACACATTTATCTTCAAGCAACACACACATAGGGAAGCTCAGATAAGTGCGACTGGAAAACGACTCTAAAGTAACTAGCAGTGTGCCTAGTGACTAAACTCAGCCACGGACAAAACTGATGACATCCAGGAGCATTTCAGCATTCTCAGACTCATCCAGATCCTTATTTAGATGCCAAAAGCATTCAAGCCAAATACATTTGCACCTAAGCACTTTGTTAGTATGATTTCATACACCACACAATCATTTAAAATAACGTGCCAGTGCCTTTCATTCAAAGTATTTAAAAACAAAAGGATTATAAACATCTGAAAGCATCCTTCTGGATAAAGTTAAGATTTCTTTTCCTGTCCAAACAGATAAATTCACATGATTACAGTGGAAATTATTTCAACACAAATCACTTCAGAGATGACAAACGCCGCTCACTTTGGTTTTCTCCTGAACAGCAAGTCAGGAAAAGCAAATAAGTAAAATCTGTTTTCCTAAGCAATTTGGTTTAAAAGAAAGCATACTCCACTTGGTTCCCCTTGGGGAAATACAGGCTACTGAAGGGTAACACGTGCTTGTCTGCAAACAGCAACCACGCCATCTTGTGGCCCACAGCTACAATTCACACAGCCCATCGGCTGCTCTAAACACACAGCTCCACTTTTCTACGAGTTTCTGTACCGAATCACATAGCACTGAAGAAACACGGCAGCAAAATACAACTCATTCACTTAAGCACCAAGACAAAAACACGACTGAATTACACCGGTAAGGGCAGCATAGAAGAGCGGGGGTTGGAGGGACATCAAAGATCACCCAGCTCCAACCCCTTGCCATGGGCAGGGATGCCCAAGAGGAGGACAGGCACCAGGTCAGCCTGGCAAGCTCTGTGAGCACAGAGAAGGCTGGGCTAACTGAGCCTGAACCAAATACAGTTCAACTCTCAGGAGAATACTGATAGCTGAAGAAATAATTTTAAACACGCTGCATGTTGTAACGACGATGAAAATATTCATCTTAGATACATATTACCCATATGTGTATATAACCATATCTGGGCACTGTAATACACTATATCAAGTTTATCCTCTGGGTCAAGTTCACTCACTTCATCAAAATGATGTCTGGGTCACTGGAATTAACTCTGCTTATATTTTATTTTGCACATAACCTTTTAGCTATTGATTTCACACCCAGAGATTTACCAGTTCTCTGGATCTTAAAACTTCTGCAGAGAAATGAATGTACACTGCAAGAAGGATACAATTCCAGCCTTACACAGAAACATACATATAAAGGGTTCGTTTCCCCCAGGAAAGCTTACTTAATTGGTTGTTTGAATAAGAATAGAAAAAGATTTGATGGTAACCTTAATAGAGGGATCCTGGCAGTTAATTTCTATGCGCTGACGTTTCAGAGTAGGCTCTACATCATCGTCTGTCACTTCATGATTCGCCAACACAACTGCAAAGAAAAATATGCCATGGCACATTCCACAAGAGACAAGAGTTACAAATGCATTAAATGGACAAATCAAAGAATATAAAAGGAGTCTGGTTAACATGCTGTAATTTTTTTCAAACTTATTTACATTAAATTATGACAGCAGCTTACTACTTCTCACGAAATTATTATCCAGATCTAAGACAATTTCAGCCCCACTGAGGGTGTAAAGCTTGGGTGTTACCTTGGATATTGTTTCTTTTTTAATTAGGAACTCACCATGAGGAAGCAGAGTTGCCACATCAGCTGTTCTGCTTCGACAGATCCACTGGCTTCTGAAACCCCAACACTCTACAAAACCGTAAGCAGTGCTAATGAAGTTCTAACAAACACAGGATTTCCCCCACTCTATGCAGGGTAGCAATAGATAGTTTTTCCCCAAAATACATTAACAAAATGCTGCAGGCTTTCCCAAATAAATAGTTGGCTGTGCAGATCGTGTGCTGTGGGTGATAATCCTGCCCAGCAGGTTCCCAGCCAGGTTGGGGCAGGCGGCTCTCAGCTGCTCCTCCAACTCTTGGGAAACATTCCTAAACATTTTCCTTCTGCATCAGAAGAGGTGTTTTTGGTAAGAGATTATATTTTCTGTAACTGTGGCTACTGTTCTAGAAAACATTTCTATCCAACACTGAAATCCATTTCTACCAACACTTACTCACCTATGCGTGAGTAATAATCTGATCCAAAGGGTATTAAAGATGCATAAAGAAAGCTGTTCAAATTCAGCTGCTAGTCTTAATAAGCACTTCAGATTAATAAAAGAAAAAGCTCAGGAGTGATTTCCACCTTGTCAGTGGGTAATACTGTACCTGGGTTGTCTGGAGTCAAGTCTTCAACGGCAATCTGAACAACATCTGCCAGATCCTGTTCTGACATCATTCAGAACCAGGCTGCACTTTGCAGTCAAACACCACTGCAGGCCCCCAAACAAGCAGTTTTACGAGACATGCAATCCTGAAAAACAGCAGCAAGAGGAGCATTAATCCCTGATATATCACAATTCAGCACTCACTTTTTCTCATGGCCATGAAAGAAAACTGCTCATACAATGGCACAAACTGCCATGCTAATTGGAAACCTCATCAAAGAGACAGCAGCTGCACTCTGGGCATCACCTCCATAAGCAACCTTTCTACAGTAGGAGCAGGACCACTCTGCAAGCCTTTCTTGCTGAGTCTTTCTACATATTCCCAACGGATAAAGAGATGGGTTAGCATCAGAGATTTGGTGGCCCATGGGTCTAAAACACAAGAGAAAATGTCTTCTTTCCAATGTATTGACACCTTCTACTTTAAAGGCTTGTAAGAGTACACATATCTATCTGTAAATTCTGAGGTTTTAATTTGCAAACTATCACTTGGCTCTTGGAAGCACTCAGACCCAACCCTTGATGCTGCAATAGCACATAAATCTGCACAGATCCATACACACACAAGCTCCTACCCCGTACAGACTGTAACAGGCCTCAAAATTCAATGAGGACTGGGAGCTCTCTTGCTGCTAATTGCAAATCAGCTTGTTTGCCCAAGGAGGCTGTGGACGCCCCATCCCTGCAGGCATTCCAGGCCAGGCTGGATGTGGCTCTGGGCAGCCTGGGCTGCTGGTTGGTGACCTGCACACAGCAGGGGGTTGGAACTGGATGAGCACTGTGCTCCTTTGCAACCCAGGCCATGCTGTGATTCTGTGATTCTATGATTGAAACAAAAGTTCCATTTTTTTTTTGGCTGTTGAATCTGTTTTTTCTACTGTCTGATTCCAATGAAGCTATTTTCAGAATATTTCCTGATTTCTCAGCCCTGTTCCCTTCGAGCCCTCCATCAACATTATTTATTAGGGTTTTAAGAGAAACTTTTTAGCCTCTAAAACTGAATTACAATCACTGGAATCGGTCGTATTTGTTCCTTCCCACAGCCATAAAAGGACAGGCATAAAACACAAAGAGATCGGTCAACATTATTTTTTTTTCCCCCCCTTTCCCAACCTGAAGCAGAAAACACAAGTAAAATAATTTGAGGTTTACCAGTGGAAACGGTAATTCATCCCTTCACATTGACTCTGAACCAGCTCCAGCTCTGCATAAAGATTTCCCTCTTCCATTGGAACACAAGAAAGCCATTAAAGCAGGCAGGTGGAGCACGGGGCGCTGGGAGAGCATCGGAGCTTGGGAAGGATTGGGGGCCCGGCGCAATGTCAGCACCCATCCCCACACTGGGACTCCCCACATCTCAGAACTGTTTACTCAAAATATCAGCGTTGCCAACGTTGAGTCATTTACAATTCTGATGGTGGTGAAAAACGGGCTGGGATTGCGTGGCCGTGGCTGCGCGCCCGAGAAAGCTGGCAATGTCCTAAAGAGTGTGGGTGCCATTTGGCAAATGAGATTTGCCATTTCTGAGAAACCCTGGCCCGCAGCCAGTCCTAACATCATAAAGCAGCTGTGCTCCAGTTACTGGCCATAATGTCACACGCTGCAGTACTGAGAACCCGGCCCTCGAGTTGAAGCGCTAAAAATGGACCGACTGCAACAAAACCCAACTTTGAGAACTTCAGCCATTTACACAACGTTGGATTTCGCTGCTGCTTTGTGTTGCATTCTAACCACAAACACATCAGTAACTCGTAAATCATTCCAAAGCATTTCTATTCTTTGCAAGCCATTCTAAGACGTACTTCGCTCTCCAAAACTCATTGTGAAATGACTGAGATGAATTAAACACAAACACAGGGTAATTTCACGCTTCTGACCTCTGTTCTGCATCTCTTGTGGGTCACAGCCCAAAGCACTCAACCTCAGATCAGAAAATTAGCCCTGAAAGATTCTGCTAGTCCTTAAACAACAGCACGGCTGCAAAGTCCTGATGGGGAAAACAGCCATTACACACACACAGCAATGTTTCTTCGTAACATCAATATTTATTTCCATTTAAACACATTGTATTACAGTTTCAAGGAATCCCACACTGCTGCTGGGCAGTTGGCCAGCATCAGGCCAGAACCCATTCTTGGATTCTCTGTGGGTGGAACAGAACATAGCTGCGCTGTCGGCGCACTCAGCGAGCTGCAGAGTGGAGCAGGGCGCTGATGGAAGCAGTGCCTGAGCGAGCTGCACTGCCTACTGCAGCCATAGCAGCTTCCACAACTGGGAATAACTCTTCCCCATTCTGCATTTCAACTTACAGTTGATAACTCCCACAGCAGGCTAAAGAACCTTATGACCAACGCTTGACTTCAGAATCAAGGACGAATGAACGATGAATGGGATACTATTAAATTGCCACCTTTGAAAAGCCTCAGCTTACAAACTCAGAACAATTTCCTCAATCCATTTTCCACATATTTTACTTGGTGAAGTATTCACCACCATTTCTGGAAGCCAAATATTTCCTCTAACATTGGCCAGATGTCCCCAGCCCTCCCCACTTACCCCTTCTGGCTGCAGGCTTTGCCCCCACTGACTATAAATGAAGTGCACACATTAAGAACCTGATGATGAAACATTACCTGGAGCAAATATGAAGTGATAAGAGAAAAACAGAAAGGCAAAAAGCTTGGGATAAGCCTCGATAGGGAAGGAAACGTGCCTGCTTTGCTTCCCCCCAGCAGCATGCAGGTTGGGTCCTATAGGGCCAGCCCAGTGCTACCTGGGGGAGTGCATGGGGACACTGCATCCCTGTGAGCACTCTCATCCCCCATTGATACACCTGATACTCTAGATTTAAAGTAGCCTTTGTTTAATGAAGTAAATTATTATTTGTAAGCAACTAAATCCAATTCGGGTCAGTTGAATTCTAAATTACCTTACCTGCGCATGGGTTTCGTTTAATTAATCCATTTTATAACATTAATGCAGAGTAATTCCTCTGAGCAGTCGCTTGTAAACAAACCCATTTACTGAAATATCTGATGGCTTTACAGAATCACAGGGCATCATTCCAAAGCATATAACCAAACACACCCAGTGACTTGTTAACATGGGAGAACATGTGCTGAACATCAATCTTCTCTCCTGCTAATTAGCGAGGGCAAACACTGCATTTCTCAAAAAAACACCGACGTTCTCCAAAGCTTTATTCTGCTCACAGCATGCACTTGGACTTCTCTTATTTGAGCAGATCATTACAGATCACCCCCTCGCTGGCACTTCATAGCACTGTTAGAGGCACAGAATCATTCAGGTTGGAAAAGCCCACTACGACCATCCAGTCCCGTCACCACCATGCCCACACCGCTGATCAAACAATTCCGTCATCCTTCATTCTGCACCATGGCCAACGCTGACTACCAGCTGTGCAAAACAAGGCTGAGGAATGCCATTCCATTTCCGAGCCTTGTTCCTCTTCTTTTCACTCATCCTTTCAATCAAGGACACCGTTTTGGTTGTGTTCCTCTAAGCACAACCCCTGCTAGCTAACCAGTCCATCTTCAGTAGCCTAACACCCATCACAAAGGGACAAGGATCCTTATCTTGCCAAGAGCTACGACATGCAACAGAGGCAGCTGAATGGCACAGTGCATTTTGCACATGCAGTAAGGGCAGTAATCCTCCGTGTGCACAGATTGGTTCACAAGTGAGATGAGCTTATGGGGCAGAGGGACTAGAGCATGCAGATCTGCCCTGGTGCAAGTTATGTAGAAGCATGAAAGAGGCCCTCTGGGCAAAAAACACAGCTTTTCACACGAGATCCTCATGAAGAACAACCAACATACCCAAGTTATAATCTGGCACAGCTACCAGCGTGCTGCATCCTAAAGGAAACAACCCCAAGAGCAGTCCTGTGCAGAGAGATGGGAAACACCTAGTTGGATACATGAAGTTATCATGGAACTGGGAGGTTCAGAACACAATGTTCTTTTAGTCTTGCTCTGAGGCTTGCAACAATTTCATGACACCAAAGCCTGCCTTTTCCCTAAGTTAAGGTCATTTCAGTTGGAATGGAGCCTTCCTACACCAACAAGCCACATTATTGCTTATGTTCTTACGCTGAAGCATGCAAAGAAGCTAGAATAGCAGTGGTGCAATAGAACATAGGGTTCGATGCTCTAAAGCTGCAGTCCCTCAATAAACCAAGTCAAAAGTTACTTTCAAAACTAACAACTGAAAAAAAAAAAAAAATCATATTTTGCACCTTCTCATCACTATTTAAAACTACAAAGAAAAAATGGACTCTGATCTTTTCCAGGTTCTGTTTAGTTTTTATTGTTCTCAACTCAAATTAAAAGGGATGCAGAAGCATGGTGTTCCACATGAATTTCATGCTAAAATTACACGTGTTGCAGCTTAACTATTTTACAAGTTGGTGTAATATATGGACATCTTTGGTTCAGCCAGGGATCAGAAGGACACTGTACTGCTTGGGTATCTTTTGGTAACTCCAATCTCCCACCTTTGGCCACAGCCCTAACACAGCATACAACAACCTCGGGCAGGAATAGAGCTGTGTGCACCAACCCCAGCACAAGGAACCACAGCACTGAGCGTGGCCATGCTCATCAACCACGAGCTCCCCATTCACCTTGCACAAACATGGCACAATTTGTACAGCTGAAAACCAGCAAGAACCAAGCAAGAACTGCTCAGCTAGCAAATGCAGCATGCAGAACCTGATGTAGCCATGGTGTTTTGTTGTTTTCATCCACTAGATGGAGAATATTGGTAGCACCTTCACAAGAAACACAAGCAGTTGAAGAACAGACTTCTTGAACTCGTTTCCCATTACGTACACAGAAGGCTCTTAAGGAACCCTTACCCACAGCTGGAGGGGCACTGAGGTGGGTTCCCCACATGGCCTTTAAATGCAGTGACTGCACCACCACCTGAAACAGCAGCATTGCCCCACAGGCATCCTTCTGCATTACTTCACACTGACTCTGGGAATTCCAAACCACCCCCTAAAGAGATCAGAATCATTTGGAGCAGATCTGAGTTCTTCACAAGAAGCACAGCGCTGCCAGAA